TTTAGGTAGCCAATTTCTAAGTTGCCTGTTTCTATTTACCCTGTACACAGAGGGGATAGGATTGATACTTGATGTGAACAGTCCTTCGCTCTCAGTTGACCATTTCCTTTATCTTTGATGGCCTCCCCCAGCACTTAGGGAGAACAGGCATGGAGACTTTTAAAACTGCATTAACCTCTCTTCTGGTAAAAGCTTCTTCCTGCTTTGCTTTTGTAGTTTCAGTCATGCTGTGTCCCTGGAGGGGGAATGTCCCTTCCCCTGTTCCACACACACACACACACACACACACACACACACACACACACTTGACTGACTCTTGGCCACCCAGTGTCTCTGTCCAATGCCCTGTAAGAAGTTCTTACTGGCTGATGACCTGGCCAGGGTGGACCTAGGCAAAGTCAAGGAGGTAGAGAAGGCACTAGGGGAGTTGGGAAGAGTCTGGGAAGGACTGACAGAGATATCCCAAGAAGCTGGTCCATCCATAACAGCCCCTGGACCCCTCCCTGCCTGAATCCCACCTCTGACACTGCTGAGCCACCTTGACCCTGGGGTTTCCTCCCTGGCCCCCTGCCCTCCTCAACCCTCCGGACTGCTCACAGGTCCCAATGACACTCTTCCCTCAACTGGGATCGTCAGCTTTTTCCCCAGTCTTTCCTCAAAGTTTCCCTCTGCGGCACACTCCTAGCCCAGTCCAGCGGCCAAGATGTCCTCATTCATGGCTCCTTCCGTGATTTGGAGGAGCCATCTCCTGGCCTCTGCTCACCACTCCAGCCTCCCTCTCAGCAGCCCCTTCTTTTTCCCTCCCTCAAAGCTAAACAAAACAAACTGCTCTGCTGTTTGGATGGATTCCATCTCATGGTGATCCTATCTCATGTGACTGCTCCGCAGGGTTTTCTTGGTTGTAATCTTTACAGAAGCAGATCAGCAGACCTTTTTTGGTCATGACACCCCTGGGTGGGTGAACCACCCACATTTAGGTTAGCAGTCTAGTGCTAACCATTTTTGACACCCAGAGACCTTCCCAAGGCTCAAGCCCTGCTCATTTCTGGCATCTTTCTTTGTTTGTACTATTTCCTCTGCCTGCCCTTCCCTCCTGTTTTCTGATTTGTTTTTCAGGAGCACTGTGGCTCTGTAGGATAAGCACTAGACTGCTAACCACAAGGTTGGCAGTTGAGTCCACCAGCTGCTCCTGAAGAGAAAGATGAAGCTTTCTGTTCCCACAAAGATTTACAGCCTCAGAAAACGATTAGGGTCATTATAAGTCAAAATTAACTAGAAGGCATTTAGCAACTGAGACTTCAGGAGACCTGGTAGTACAGGAATTAAGCGTTTGACTGATAACCAATAGGTCAGTGGTTCAAACCCATCAACCGCTCTGAGGGAGAAAGATGTGGCAGTCCACCTTCATGAAGATGACAACTTTGGAAACACTATGGGGCAGTTCCCCTATGTCCTATAGGGTCGCTATGAACTGGAAACGGACTTGATGGCAGTGGTTTAGGGTTTTTGGTACTGACACTTCCCAAGTTCCTGGGTGATGCAAATGGTGAACACATTTGGCTGCTAACTGAAAAGTTGTAAGTTTGAGTCCACTCAGAGGTAGTCCTTTGGAAGAAAGACCTGGTGATTTAATTCTAAAAGATCACAGCCATTGGAGACCCTATTATGATTAAATGCCTTCGAGGATAAGTGGTTCCTACTCAAGTGACCCTGTGATGGACAAGCTAAGTGAGCTCCAGTGGCCTCAGTTCAATCATCTGTAAAATGGGAACTATGAGAGGACCTTCCTCAAGACACTGAATGAGATAATGTATTGGAAACCCTTAGCACTGTAAGTACCCAATATCTATTCAATCTCAATGTTATTTGCTATTGGTGCTGTGGGTTAATGCGCTGGACCGCAAGGTTGGTTTGAACCACAGAGTTGGTGGTTCAAACTTACCAGTCGCTCTTCAGAAAACCCTATACAGGGTCGCTATGAGTCGCAACCAACTTGACGACACTTAACAACAATAACAGCAACAACAACAAAAGTGTTACAGGGAGCTATGATCAGCTTTCAAAAGGGAATTCAGGAAGGAAACTAACAATCTGGAAATAAACTAGTAAGGAGGGGATTTTTCAGCTGGGCTTTGCCGTATACACAGGAGTTTGTTGGGTAAAGTAACAGCTTCAAGTCCAATAAACATCTGAGAGACCCAAGTTAAGGTTCGCTTGAGGTGTCTGTTCCCAAAGGTGGGCAAGTAGTGGAGAAGCCTAGAATTTTGTTTGAGGTGTAAACCCGACAGTGAACTGAAATTCTGAAAGTAGGACTTCTTTGACAGGTGGAGAAACAGGCCCAATGAGATTCAAAAATCTAGACTTTTATGCTCTTACATGCTCCATTCTGAGAATCAGTTCAATAACACAGACTTCCCCCCCCCCAGGAAATAAACAAATAAATAAATATATACACACATTTTTAAAAAAACATTTGCTGAAAATACATGCAGCACAACATACATCTATCAATTCAACAACTTTACACGTACAATTCAGTGACACAGACGACCGTCTTCAAGTTGTCACCTTTCTCATTCCCCTTTCCCGAACTGTTACTTCCCCAGGAACATAAACTCAAAGTTCCTAAACTTCCTGTCTAACTTTTCCACGATGTTCAAGTTCGCGCAAAGCTTTGCCTACAAGTTTAGGGGCCTCTGGATTTAAGAACCAAAGTTTGGTAAAGCATTCAGCCCCCAGGTGAGTTTTCAACTTTACCCTTTGCATTCTCCTCACCCGTGGGAAGGCTTCCCAGGTGAGTCCAGGCCACTCCAAATCCGAGTCCCATCTCGCGCCATCTCCAGCTCAATTTCTCCTAGGAAACCCTAAGCTCCTACAACCCCCGGCTCCACGCGCTCCCCAAACCCCATTTCAATTCCCGCACTGGTTCGGCGTCCCACTCCAGCTTTCCAGCCCCTCAGAATCGCGCTCGGAGCCCCAGGCCCTCCTCCAACTGCAGCCAGCCCCTCCCTCGGCTCCGAGCCCCCCGCCTCCGTCTCGTAGCTTTGAGGTGCAAACACACCCTCCCCCAACTCTTCCCGCCCCCACCTCCCCCAAGTGGCTGCTCGGGGCCCGGAACGCGGCGGGGTGGGCCTCTGGCCTTCGTGTTCCCGCCCCAAGCCTCCGGGCAGCGCCGAACCGGCCCTCCCGCGCGACCACCCGCCGTGCCGCCTCCACGCGCGCCCGTTCGCAGGTAGGGAGGGTGCTGGCGCTGCGGGGCCAGTGGGCGCGCCGGGCGGGGCCCGCCGGGGGGGAGGGGAGAGGACTCCTTTGTTTGCAGCCGCAGCCCCGGGCCCAGCCCCCTCCCCTCTCCGCGCCGGAGTGGGGTGCGGGGTCCCGGAGCCCAGCTGGGAGCTCGGCCCGGATGGGCGGCGGCGCGGTGCACCTCGCGCTCGGACCCGCAGGTGAGGGCGGAGCCGAGCGTGCCGGGGATCCCGGGGCCGGCGCCCTAGTTCTGCCCGGCGGAGACCGCGGCTCGCGGGCGCCGGGGCGCTCCCTCCGAGTCGACGGAGCCCTGAAGCCCCCTCCCCGCCCTCGCAGCGCACGCCACCCGCGCTCATTCATTCGACCCACTCCGGGGCGGCGGGGGAGTCCCGAGGCGGGAATGGCAAAGAGGGCTCCGCGGGACCGGAGGCTGCCTGGAGAAGGTGCCTTCCGAGCGCAGACCGACCTGAACATCTCCGGGTCAAAAAGGGGGCGCGCCTTCCTAGTCGGCCTACTAGCTCCCCACACCCCGGCAGGGTCTCTCGCTTCTCCAGGGATCTTGGGACCACCCGGACTGTCCCTTCTACGCCTACCGCACGTTCTCCACCAAACTCAACCTCACAGACCACTTGTGGCTTGTTGCCCCCAAGTATTCCGCTTTCACTCTGCAAAACTTTGCCTGGATCATGACCTCCCGAGGAGGCGGCCCTGTCCCCATCTCCTTCCTCTCTCCCACCTTTCCAATCCCAGGAGAAACGCGTGCTGCCACATCCTCTTCCCTTCCTCCCTGCTGCTTAAGCTTAAAACAAACAAAAAACCCAACAATCGGGGCCATTTGTGTGTTACTGAGTATAATTGCTACAGAGGGTTTTCTTGGCTCTAACCTTTACAGAAGCAGATTGCCAAGCTGTTCTTCCGCAGCACTACTGGGTGAGTTCCAACCCCCAACTTTAGCAGTTGGGTGCAAACCTTTTGTGCCACCCATGGCCTCAGCACCTACTCAGTCCCTTGACTTGCTCCTCTGTGAAGTGGGTGAATGGGTGACTTCTGAGCTGCACTTTCCCACTCTGCCCAGTAACCCTGCCTCTGTCCATCATGGCCTCAGTGGTTCTTAGTGGTTCTCACCACCAACCTCAACCCTTCCTTCAGCCCGTAACAGGGGAACACACCCTTCCCTGGGCAGAATGCTGGGACGCTCTCCTCCACTTCCGGTCCAGGTCCAGCCTCTCCTTATCCCTGGAATCCTTCCCTTCCTCTCCCTCCCTCTCCTGGCCGCCTGCCCCAACCTCTCACCTGCTTGTGTCCCCTTGGGCCTAGAGCCCTGCTCTAGCCACCTGACACCTGTCTCTCACTTTGTCCCTCTCACTTAATTACCTTCGACAGTCTTCTATTACTTGAGATAAGTTCCATTACACAATCACAAACTGCCACAAAATCCAGCTCCAACTCCTCTCCACACACTCAGCAACCTTCTGTTTTTCCTCTCTCCAGCATTTTCTGACTGACTCCATCACATCTTACCTCCAGGAAGCCTCCTTGGATTGTCCAGCTGCTCCCAGGTCAGGGGAGAGGGGCTGCCCTAGTTCTTCCCATCTGGGGTAACCCTCCCCCTGCTCCTGGTTCTGCCTGGTGGCCAGGGGTTTTCTGAGAACTGTGTGTTTGCCTGGGGCAGACTCACTTCCTCTCTGTAGCCTCCAGGGACCAGTCTTGGCTTCAGCGGAGCTGCGCTTGGCTAGGAGAGGACTAGTGTCTTCACCATGACTCCAGGCTCTCTGGCGCCACTCCTGCTGGCCTGGGTGGCACTGTCGTGTGTGGCAGGTGGCCAGGGCCACTGGGATGGAGCTTCAGAGTCTCCAAATCTTGGACGAGTACAGAGGCGAGGTGGCACACGTGTCTTACAGGGGTGTGTGGTTCTCTGGATACTGAGAAACCCCCCGGGGGAGGGGGCTGGCTGGACACTCACCAGTCATGGTCTCACCTTCCCACGTGCTCTCCCGAAGGCCAAATGTGTGTGGCTCTCCCTTTCACACCTACTGCTGTCCTGGCTGGAGGACGTTGCCTGGTGGGAACCAGTGTGTTGTGCGTGAGTGTTCTGAAGGTGGGGGTGTGGGGAGGAGAGAGTGGGCCCCTGGATCTCTTATCTACCATCAAGTCCAGCCCTTTTTCTTTATTTTTTAAAAAAGTAGAGCAGTTTTAGGTTTATGGAAAATCTAGAAGGTTCCCATGCATCCTTCCCTTGCACCTTGTTCCTCCTGTTGTTGGTTGCCATGGAGTCTGAATGGTCCCTCTAAGTGTGGAAGCTCCCTGGTAACGTGTACGGCATCCTAGCAACAGATGAATCTCCACTTGACAGACAAGTGGTGGACGAACGTGAGATACCGTGTCGGGGGTCAAACCCAGATATCCTGCGTGGAAGGCGAGAATTCTACCACTTCAGTACCTTCTTGCTTGTATTATCAGCCCAGTTGTGAAGTGGATATAGTTGTGGATGAAGGAGTGCTGAACCCCAGGAATGGCCCCTGCCTCTGTCCCACACTCCCGGTCACCATGCCACGTTTGTTTCCTTTGCCTGACAATGTCCCTATGTCTCTAGAATCTGACTCCACATCCAAGAGACTCCCCCCCCCCCCCGTACCCTCCCAGTGACCCAGCACCTCTGTCCCCTGTCACTAGGGCCCAGAGCTATCTTTCTCCCCAGAATGGCCACAGCCTGGGTCTGACCACTTGCACAGCCCTGCTCTCGAGTCAGGGGATAGTCCACATGCACAGGGACTCTGGATGCAGGACAGGAGATGGTCCAGGATCGGGCCTGGCCCTGACCACTGTCCACTCTATCTGTTGCAGCTGTCTGCCGGCACTCCTGTGGTCAGGGGTTCTGTTCCCGGCCCAACCTGTGCACTTGTTCAGACGGATCGCTGGCCCCCAGCTGTGGGGTGAGGCTCGGTGAGCAGGCCAGAGCCTCTGGGACGGAAGGAGAAGGTTCCAGATTTCCAAATGGCACTAGGGGTTCCAGTTGGTTCCTGGTTGCAACTGACCATGGGTCTCTGTTTCCAGGGGCAGGGTGCAGTGTGAGCTGTTTGAATGGGGGCAGCTGCAGAGGGGAGATCTGCCTGTGCCTGAGGGGCTACATAGGCCCTGTGTGTGGGCAGCGTGAGTACGCCCTGGAGGCTCCCACTCCATTGGTGCACCCACCTGCCCACTGCCCATGGAGACTCTTCTGAACTGGGGTTTGAGGGAACACGCTCATGTCGCAGTCTTGTTGGGTCTGGGCCCCGCCTTGGGGATTCCAGCCCAGCCTCCTGTGCAGCTTAGGGGTCTCATGCCTCCTCCCCACCCCCACTCCATCCACAGCCATCTGTGACCGAGGCTGCCACAACATGGGCCGATGTGTGGGGCCCAACCTCTGCGCCTGTGTGTATGGCTTCATGGGACCACAGTGTGAGAGAGGTACCAAACTGGGCTGAGGAGGTTGGGGAGGCAGCCTGTGAGACACATGGAGGTGGTGGAGAGTCTGACTAGCCCCCTTCCTGCTGTGCCAGCTCCTGGGATAGTTCCCAGATGTTCTCAATGGTATCCCCCAGAAATGTGGTTTGGAATCCTAACCTTGTACCTGAAGGAAGGGTCCTAGTGGCACGGCAATTAAGCCCTTGGCTGCTAACTGTAAGGTCGATGGTTCAAACCCTTGAGAGAAAAACTTGGTGTGGAGTTCTGGTGTGGCGCTGTAGGATAAACAGTGAACCACAAGGTTGTTTGAATAGCAAGGATGGCAGTTTGAACTCACAAGCCGCTCCTCCTCAGAAACCCTATACTTAACAACAGCATTCAGTTCTTGTTGATTACAGCTTTGGCAATCCCATGGGGCAGTTGTACTCTGGCCTAAAGGGTTGCTGTGAGTCCACTTAGCTTGCTGACCATGAATCCACACTCTGGGGGGAGATCCTTGTCTCTTTCTCTTCTCCATGTTCCTTGGAGATTTCCATATGACGTCTGTTCTGCCTCCATTTCAGTCTAATCTGCTCTTTTTATATCTCAAAAGTGTTTAGGGTTAAGATACTCTGGGCACCTTATTAACATAATAGAGAAATTGCTTGTTCTCAAATGGAATTACTCCACGTGGTATCCCATTGCCCTTGTCCTCAGTCAAGATTGTTGCTCTTGAGTTGGTTCCGACCCACAGCGACTCTGAATAGGGTTTCCAAGGAGCAGCTGGTGAGCTTGAACTGCTGACCTTGTGGTTCAAACTGACTTTGCAGTCCAGTGCATTAACCCACAGCGCTACATTACATACAACATGTATTTTTTTTTTTTTTAATTAAATGTTTTTATTTTGCATTGAGTGAAAGTTTACAGGGCACATCATCAGCTTCACATTCAACCATTCATATAGCTTGTTTCATTACATTGATTATTATCCCTGCCATATATCATCAGTTTACAGTGTTTCTATCCCCTTTAGCTTTTTTTTTTTTTTGGGTGGGGGGGGACTTGGCTTATTGGAATTTACAGTCTCGGCTTTTAGGGGAGGTTTTTACATTTGTCTGTGGATATCCAGGGCTCACGTATGAGATTACTAACAAGCATTACTGAATAATCAGATGAGGGACAGTTTGTTATGTCTACTAGGTGGCTAGAGTCTGATACAACATGTATTTTGAGGGACACAGTCTGATCCCAAACTAGCAGTGTGAGCAGTAATACTGCTTTGTGCAATAATGTGCCTTGTGACAGATAGGATGTATGGGGGCAGGCTCCCTGCTCTGTGCTGGTCGAGGAGGCAGCTGGATGCTCAGGTCATGGGGCTAAGAAGGTGGCATCAGTCGTCACATCTGTGTTGTGTTGGTGTGTGCCATTGAGTCAATTCTAGCTCATAGCCATCCTATGTTGTTGTTAAGTGCCATCGTGTCGAATCTGACCCATAGCGACCCTGTATAGGGTTTCCAAGGAGCAGCTGGTGAGCTTGAACCACCAACCTTGCAGTCCAAATGGCTTTGCAGTCTGGTGCATTAACCCACAGCGCCACCCCAGGACTCCCTATAGGACAGGGTAAAGCTGTTCCACAAGATCTCCAAGCCTATAATCATTACGGAAGCACACTGCCCCCTGCTCCTCCCATAGAATGACTGATGGGTTCAAACCCCCAATGTTTTGGCTAGTCGTTAAGTGCCGTAGAGTTGGTTTCTTGTGGCGCTGTGGGCTAATGCATCAGACTGCAAAGCCGTTTGAACTGCAAGGTTGGCGGTTCAAGCTCACCAGCTGTTCTTCGGAAACCCTACACAGGGTCGCTATGGGTTGGGATCAACTCAATGGCACTTAACAACAACAACAATAGTATTTCCAAAGAGTGACTGGTGGGTTCAAACCACCAACCTTGTGGCAGTCCAGTGCTTATCCTGCAGTATTACACCAGGACTCCTTTTGGCTAGTAGCCAAGTGCTTAAGCAACTGCGCCATCAGAGCTCCTGTCCTATTCATAGGGACTGAGAACAGGCAGATGGAAGGGGGTGAGGGGCAAAAGGCGAGAAAAGGGTTTGGGCATTTAAGGGTGGGCAGAAAAAAAAACGGAGCTCACAAGAAGGTACAAAAGAACTGGGCCAGTGGTGTTGGGAATGTGCAGGTGGCGAGGAACTGGTGCCATGGGAGTACCCTTTAAAACCCAGAAGCCCAAGAAAGTAAAGGGGCTAGCGCCCTGTGACTGACACCCAGGTGGGCGGTGCGGAGGGCAGAGTCTGGTGATATAATGGTGTAGGGGGGAGGTGGCGTGCTTCTGTGGCTGAGGCGAGGGTGGAGAGGGTGTAAGGAAGATCTGGAAGTTGGAGGGACTGGGATCATCAGGAATTGAGGTGGAACAGACTTGGGACGACTGAGAGGAGGTGAGGACCAATGGGGCAGGGTGAAAGAGGAGGCAGGGGTTGGGGGTAGACAGTGACGGCCCAGGAGAGAAGCCAGGCTGGTTGTCCAGGGGTCCAGGTGCTGAGTGAATTAGGTGAGATTCTGGGGACATCTGAACCAGATATCTCTGAAGCCCCTCCTCCATACAAACCCTGAAGGAGCTGGGGGTTGCCTTCATTTCTTCTGGGAGGGGTTCCCCTTGGTCGAGTTCCAGCCCCGTTATTGGAAACATCTGGAGATCAGAGATGGGAAGTCACATCTGGGTCTTATACATGGACAGGGCGGAGCGCAGAGCCAAGCAGCAACATGGCCACCTTTGGTTCATAAGGAGGTGGATGATGTAGTGTTCGGAGCCCAGAACTTTTGGGTACATGCTGGGTCTGAGAGATTTTCCAGGGTCAGGCGTGTGATCTCTAATGGGGCACACTTTCTAGTGGGACACCCATGGCTTCCTGGCCAGACCCAAAAGGAGAGATGAGCTTCGGGGAGAAAAAGGGAGCACCATACATGCCCTGGGCTTTGTGGGCTGAGAGACCCCTGGTTTCCCTTGGAGGTTGTTTGGGGAATGCTTTGGAGAGAAAGAGTTTTGCAGGGTGAATAGGAGTTTGTTAGAGAAGAGGAGGAAAGTCGTTTTAAGAAGGGGCACAGCATGAGGAAAAGCTTGGTATGGTTGGTGCAGGGAGGCTGGAAGGGCAGCATGAAAGGTAGAGGCCTGACTTGGGGCTGCAGGGATGGAGATGCTGGGGCCCAGAGGCCACGGACCAACTGCCCACACTCAAACCTCCCTTCAGACTACCGGACTGGGCCCTGCTTTGGTCATGTCGGCCCTGAGGGGTGTCAGCACCAGCTGTCGGGCCTCGTCTGCACCAAGGTGCTCTGCTGTGCCACTGTGGGCCACGCCTGGGGCCTCCCGTGTGAGCTGTGTCCTCCCCAGCCGCACCCCTGCCGCCGAGGCTTCATCCCCAATGTTCGAACAGGGGCCTGCCAAGGTGCGTGGTAGGGTCAGGGAGTGGGCTCAGTGGCCCTGAGCTACCAGGGCTGAGTGGGGGGCTCTGGGCAGCCTTGGTTCCTCTCTGTAACAGCCCTCTCACCCCCTATTGGCCGTCACCCCTGTAGATGTGGATGAGTGCCAAGCCATCCCAGGCCTGTGCCAGGGGGGCAGATGCATCAACACCGTGGGCTCCTTTGAGTGCCGCTGCCTGGCAGGACACCGGTTCAGTGAGGGTGCTGCCAAGTGTGAAGGTGAGTGACACGGAGGGGATCTCTTCTGTCCTGGGCTGCCCGGGTGCCCCTGCAGGGAGGAAGAAGGGCAGGCCTGCAGGGGACCCAGGACTGATCGGGAAATGTCCTTTCTCAGATGTGGATGAGTGTCTTCATGTGCCTGGTCTCTGCCCCAGAGGCAACTGTGCCAACACGGTTGGGAGCTATGTGTGCACCTGTCCCCGTGGCTTTGTCAGCAGCCTGGATGGTACCCACTGCCTGGGTGAGCCGGGACCAATAGACCCAATCCGCCATCATCTATCTCTACGATGGATACCGGGGCCCTCTAGTCCTCCAATTTCTACAGCCACCTGCCTTTCTAGACTCTTGTCTCCATCCCCTCTGCCTCTTTGCTCTCATAGACCCTCACCTCTGAACCCCCTTGGCCAGATCCATGCCATTTGGTTCTCTGGTTCCTTGTAAGTCTCTGGCTCCACCCCCATGTGTCTCTCAGTCTTTGAGCCCCTCTAGCCCTCTAGCCTCCATTTCTATGCCCCCTCAGCCTCTCTGGGTCCCTGTTTCTATGCCTTTTTCTGAGGATTATCCGAAAATAAGTGCTTCCTCCCCCCTGTCGTTTTTGAGATAGAGAAACTGAGATGCAGAGAGGCTGAGGGGAATGGCTTGAGCCAACTCAATCAGTCTGGGCCAGTGGATACTTAACACCCAGCTCCTGGACCCCAGCCAGAGAGGGCTTTTTTGTGCTGTGCCCCTAACCCCTGGGTGCCCACCCTTCCCTCTGAGGCCCAGCCCCCGGGGGAGGGGGGGACTCCCAAGCATTGGAAGTTGATGTGGTCAACACTAGGGACAGGCCCCCTCAGGCAGGGCTGGAAATAGTGTGTTTGGAGTTTGGCCAGTGAGCTGTGGCCAAATCCAGAATTTCCAGGCCTCTGCCTCTGTGGCCCATCATAATGGCTTCAAAGTTCCTCTGGACACGCGTCTCCTGACTACTAAGTGGCCAAGCCTGGGTTTGAACCGAGGTCCGGTTACATCTGGACTTTGGTTTTAGAGTTAGGCCCAGGTTCAAATTGCTTGCTGACCTGGTTGGAAATTCGTTAACCTTGGGCAAGTGGCTTCACCTTTCTGGGCCTCAGTTTCGTGTTCTGTAAAATGGGGCTGATAACAGCTCCAGTGGAAGAAAGGTCTGGTAATCTGCTTCTGTAGAGATGTTAGCACTCAGTTCTACTCCATCACACACGAGGGTGCCAGGGAAACAGGTGTGCCTTGGATTTCAGAGTACACGCCTTTGGGAATTATAGCAAGGGTCAGCTATGCCACGGGTATTTTAAATACCAGCGGGGTCACCCACAGTGGACAGGTTTCAGATGAGCTTCCAGATGAAGACAGATTAGGCGCAAAGAGTGACGAACTACTTCCGAATATTTAGTCACTGAAAACCTTATGAATAGCAGAGAAACACTGTCAGATACAGTGCTGGAAAATGTGCCCCTCAGGTTGTAAAGCACTCAAAATGCAACTGGGGAAGAGCTGCCTCCTCAAAGTAGAGTTGACCGTGATGACGTGAATGGAGTAAAGCTTGTGGGAGTAAAGCCCACAGGACCTTCATTTGCTGATGGGGCACAAGTCAAAATGAAGACAGACAGCTGTAAACATCCATTAATAATCAGAACATGGAATGTACGAAGTATGAATCTAGAAAAATAGGAAATTTGTTAAAAATGAAATGGAATGCATAAACATTGATATCTTAGGCATTAGTGAACTGAAATGGACTAGTATTGGCCATTTTGAATCTGACAACCACGTAGTTTACTATGCCTGGAATGACAAATTCAAGAGGAATGGTGTTGCATTCATTGTAAAAAAAGAGCATAT